TCATTGTGATACTATACAACGGATGCAACAGTTGTCGCGCCACAACAGCTAAAGTCTGTCTACAAGTCCATCATAGATAGAACGAGGCAGCAGTTTACTGTCGAGGATTTGTCGTGCAACTGTCGATCAACATCCCACCCCTCCTGTGACCCATGGTTTGTCTGTATTCAGAGCCAGTGAGCAACGGACTTTCAAAAGAATAATAATAAAAACTGCGTTAATGCGCGATAAAATAATTGTCGGCGTTAATTAACGCGTTAACGCAATAACTTGCCCAGCCCTAATTTAAACCAATGACAGTCTCAAACCCCACAACACTCACCTCAAACCGTCTTTCAAAATTCTGAAACTCAAACATTCTCGCTTGAAAACCTTCAGCCAGAGCACCACCTGAAATCCAAAAAACAACCTCTTTACAGGGGTCATGTCAGGGAAAAGAGGAAAAATAAGAGTTTGATGTTTAACAAACTACATTTCACAATGTTCGCATAACCATATGAAAGAATATTTGACTTAAGATGATGCTGTAATGCAGGGTTTCCCAAATGGTTTTGTGAGGGAACTGCAGAGCGTTTGTGAGTTAATTAAAAACGAATAATTAAATATATTGTAATATTAAAATCAGTAAACAAAATGAATAAGAAAAAACCTGAAATTGCGATATAACTTACATACAAGTACAATCATCAATTTCAAATCATTTAATTAAGCCCACAGTCTGTTGCACTTAGGGATATGCCGGTATCACATTTTCATGTTGCGATTAATTGCTAATGCTTTTATCACAGTATACGGTTATTTTCACGATATTGAAATTTAGTTGCAAAAAAGTGTTGTCATAATACAGTATAACAGGTTTAATAACTTTTTTCTTATAACAAAACTAACTGAACGTTTAAATACAATAAAACAATACACAAAAAATGTATAAAGTTAAAAATTTTACACAGTGCCATCTGCTGTCAGAGAGTGAATGTGCTTTCATTCAGAGCGTCTCTCACGCGCTCCACCATGCGCTTCTCACCCGCGCTTGTTTACATCAGAGTGCACACGCGTCTTTAACGCAGCATACAGCAGTTCTGTGCATTGTGACCAGTTGATGGGAAAAGTATTCTTAAAATGCATCCAAAATTCTGAATCATTTGTAATAAATAATTATTCTCGGTATTTTGAAGTGCCCACAACAACGTGCATATTCATTATCGTGATATATCTCATTACCGAATACCGGCGCATGCACTGCGTGTTTCAGAGTGAAGCGCAGCACTGTGCTCATGTGAGCATCTCATGATCCAGTGTTTTCAGCATCTCAGAGTGGCTCTGTTTACAGTAAACGCAGTGAACTTCATCTTTGCATGTACTGAATTTAACATGCATTTGGGAATGCAATCACTTTATTTCCACATTCACATAATTTTCAACATTTTTGTGGACAAAAGTTTACAGCATTCCTCCAATATTCCACCATAATGAAAGCCTGAATTTGAAACGTGAATAGCATTTGAAAAGGTTTTGAAAAGTACTTATTACCGCATATTCATTTTTTAGTTCATAATACAATTGTAATTTACAACATTTTAATTATATATATGCATATATATATATATATATATATATATATATAACACTTAAAACTAAAAATAGTAATATTATTATATTGTTAATATTAGAATAATAACAATAACTATTATTATTATAAAAAATTAATTGGGTTCCTAAAAACATCAGTTTGAATGTAATGTGGACTGGCACACAACAACTACAAAGAGGTCTGGGTCCACTTAAAAGTCCAGTTACAAAGTGAAATGTTTATTATTATATGACAAAATAATTGCAATACTGTAACATTTTATTGGCCTGGCAAATTATAATTTTAAAATAAAAACAATTAAAATAAAATAAATTTTATCTGTTTACTTGCATGTCACCATAATCAGAAACCCATGAACATGAGTATGTGTTGTTAACATCTAGAAATATTAAGTTACATACTTAAGTAAATATTTTACGTCTAAGGGGTTCAGCTGACAAGAAAACGTTTGTGAACCCCTGATGTAAATGTATCTACCTGCTTCAGGCATTCCCTGGGCTTTCTGGACACGCGCCTGAAGAGCTTCTTTAGCAGAGACGAAGAAGATCCGGTCGCTGGCCTGAGCGCGATCCACCACCCGCAGCTCATCCACTAAAAAACTAGTGCAGCGGTCCATGTGCTGCCGTCTCACCTGACAAACACACACTACATTATAACAGTGCAACAACACCATGCATCATGCACCTTGGTTTCAAAAAGGTCACTAAAAGATCCAATTTGGTCACACTTTAAGGAAACAATACTCACCATTAACTAACTAATTTTGCCTCAAACTCCCTAATTGCTGCTTATATTTAGTAAGGTAGTTGTTAAGTTCAGGTATGAAGCAGGAGAAAGAGATCTAAACTATGCTCATGCAGAATAAGGCATTAGTATGTGATTTATAAGTAATAATAAATGGCCAATATGCTAGTAATATGCATGCTAATAAAGAAAAAACAAAACTAGTTAATAGTGAGAATTGGTCCCTTTACTAAAGTGTTACTCCAATTTGTTTACTTGACTTTATTTGTAAATCAGACAAAAACAATTCAAGTTTCACCTCATCCCGAATTTTGTATAAAATAAAGAAACTTGCTTACAGTATTCGGTTTAACTACCAGCGATGTTAATGATTTAAAACGCATCTCAGGGTGGTGAGACTCATAGTATGTGTGTGTGTTGTTTGTTGTGTCATGTATGTCACACCTCTTCCATGTACTCGGGCTCGTTGGCGGAGGCGTCCCAGCGGTTGTTCAGGATGAAGATATTGGGGCTGGAGAGGCGCTCGTTCACTTTGTGAAAGAATGACTTTTCCTTTCAGAGGGCAGAGGGGAGACGTGTTTTAATAAGCTGACACAAGTGAGGTCACATGACAACTGTGCACTCTAAAATGAGTGAAACCTCAAAAATAAAAGATAATCAAAATTCTTTAACTTTAAAGAAATTAGTGCAAATACTACTGCAATTTATCTGTCCATAATGCTGTAATATATACACCAAAATCTGCATAAAGCGTCTGTTCCCACAGTCCATCAGCCCTTTTTCACAAACTGAAGTTCATATTAAACTCACTGTTTGCATTAAAGTGGACTCTGAATTCGCCACCAGCACAAAAACGTCAGCATCAAGGCAGAAGTTGTCGATCCAGCTGTCCAACTCTGTTGTGACATCGATGCCAGGGCTTAAAAAGGAAGATTTTATAAGTTTCCAAAAACAAAATATTCCTAATATGACTTCTTATGCAGTAAATTGGTAATTTAATGCAGTAAGTTTATAATGCCATTGCACTGGTATCCTTACATGTCATCTTAATATTAAAAACAGCATCTAGCAAGCAAAAAAATTAAAAATACAAATAAACAAAAAATGCATGCAAACAAATTAATGTGCGCAGAATTTATAGATCTGTAAATCAAAACAGACAGTGTGTTGAATGCAGTGTTAAAGGAGAGTGAATATTTCCTAATAGTGCAGTCAACATGTCTCCGGCCTCACAGCCAGACAGCACGAGTGTGTGTTTACCTGTCCACAAGAACCAGGTCATCACGCAGTAGCGCACACTTCGCTTTAGGCCACATGACACACACCAGACTGCCTGCGTCCAAATCCTCATCCTGATGTAAGGCATGGGCCAACTGGTTCACCGTCTGCCAATACGCACACAAACATTAGCATTACCAAGTACTTTTAACT